AAATAATACATGTAATCCATGATAAAATAGGAATAGTGTTTAAAAAATGAACAAAATAAACAAAAGGCTCAAAAGGCTAACAAAAACGGTGATCAATCCATTAAGGTTGGCCTATGAAGTCTCTAAGCTATTTTTAATGAATACCATTATCATCTTCCCTATAACAATTGCAATGATGCAGCCTTGATTAAGGGAGGAAAAAGTTCTAGAGGGCATAAATGCTAAAGACAAGCCTCATAAAAGTGTTTAGGCTTCTTCCAACTAGGGTTTTCACCTCTCTAATCAATTGCACACAATTTAAAAGAAAGCTTGTTTAAGATGGTAAAACAACTAAAGTAATATCATTTCAAGAGTTTAAGTTCCAAAAATCCAAAAAACCCAAGACAAAACAAAACCTAAGACAAAACAAAACATTTTATAAATTTTTAAATTTTTTTAAGAAGCAAAAATCAAATATTTTTGTCTCCCCCCATACTTAAATCATGTATTGTCCTTAATGTATGCACATATATGTCTTTAGACAATGTTTTCACAAAAGAATGCATGAAAAATGCAAGAGGAAAATTTTTTAAAACATTGGACCTAAATCAAACACCTAATTCAAGAATAAAAAACACTTTTATTTTGAAAAAACTAAAGAAAACAAACCTAATTCTAAACCTAATGGAAGGGTCATATCTCCCTCCCGCTTAAATCTCAAAATAGATACTACAAAGCATAATCACAAGTAAGAATCAAGTGGTCCACATGTGTGCACAAGTGTCAGCAGGCATATACTAGAAAGTGCTCAACATGTGTGCTAAGTGAACAGTCAAAGCAAAAAAAGGGTGTGAGTTGGAGAGATACAACCTTAAAGCTAGTCATGGAGGTTTGAAGTTATGTCCCTCCGCATCTTGTTATGATCCCCTTTTGTAGAGCTTACATAGGTGCCTATTAACTTATAAGGTTTTGGATGAAGCCTCATGTAAGTGTTGTAGGACACAATATGGATAAACTTTAATAACCATAAAGAGGCCTTCCCATCTAGAGAGGAGCTTAACTTGTTTGTGTATGTATCCTGTTTGGTATAATAGAACCAAGTCTCCTTCTTTGAACTCCTTCCTTATTATCATCTTATCATGTAGGATCTTGTTCTTTTTTTCATAAATCCTTGAGTTTTCATAGGAGTCTAGCCCTAATTCCTCTAGCTTTTAAAGTTGAAATAACCTTTCTTTAGTTGTGGCTTCCTCATCAAAATTGAGCTTTTTTATAGCCCAATAAGCTTTATGCTTTAGCTCAGTGGGCAAGTGACACGCCTTTCCATAAACCAACCTAAAGGGAGACATCCTAATAGGGGTTTTGTAGGCAATCTTATAGGCTCACACGGCATCATCCAAATGAAGGTTGTAGTCCTTTCTATTGGTATTGACAACCCTGGATAAAATGGACTTGATTTCTTTGTTTGATACCTCGACTTGTCCATTTGTTTGGGGATGGTAAGGTATAGATACTTTATGCTTTGCCCCATACTTAGCCAAAAGCTAGCTCACAAACTTGTTACAAAAGTGGGAGCCTTTGTCACTAATAAATGATCTTAGAACCCCATACCTATAAAAAATATGAGACTTGAGAAACTTAATGACAACCTTTGCATCACAAACTTTAGTAGGCATAGCCTCAATCCATTTAGACACATAATCCATACAAAGTAATATATAGTTATAACCAAAGGAAGAGGGAAATAGTCTCATGAAATTAATACCCCACATGTCAAGTATCTCACAAAACATAATAGGGTTTTCAGGCATCTCATGTCTTTTTCCCCAAGAGGAAAACTTTTGGCATTTCAAACATCTTTTACAAAACTCATAAATCTTTGAACAAAGTAGGCTAATACAATCCACAGTCCAAAACTTTTCTAGCAGTCCTATTGCACTAAAGTATCTACCATAAGCATGTGAATGGCAAAAGTCAAAAATAGAATCAAAATCAACATCATCCACACATCCCCTAATAATGCAATCACTATAAATCTGAAACAACAAAGGAGGTTCCCATAAGTAATATTTTGCCTCCCTTTTCAACTTTTCAATTTTAAACCTAGACTAGTCAAGAGGTAGTACACTACATTCAACAAACTTTACAAGATGAGCATACCATGGAGTATGAGTAGAAATAGCATATAAGGTCTCATTAGGGAAATAATCACACACAAGAGAGTAAGGATTAGAGTTTACTATAACTTTCTTAAGGTGAGGCAATCTAAATAAATGGTCAACCACATGGTTTGTAGAACTACTCCTATCCTTAATCTCTATGTTGAACTCTTGCATCAAGATCACCCATTTAGGCTTAGACTTGGCCTTCTTCATCACGTATCTTAAAGACATATGGTAACTATACACAACCACCTTGGAACAGATCAAGTAAGATCAAAATTTATCCAAGGCAAAAACAATAGCAAACAACTCTTTTTCTATAGTGGTGTAATTAATCTATAAGCCATCAAGTGTCCTAGATGCATATGCAATCATATATGAAAGTTTACCATCTTTCTAACTAAGTATAGCACCCACAACATAATGAGATGCGTCATAAGATAATTCAAAATCAAGAGACCAATTTGAGGATTTAAAAATGGGAGGTGTATAAACCAATTTTTTCAAAATATTAAAAGCTCTTTTACAATCATCATCAAACATAAATGGTGTATCTTTTTAAATCAATCTTGTCATAGGTAAGGCAATTTGGCTAAAACCCTTAATAAACATCCTATAAAAACTAACATGTCCTAAAAAGGATCTCAACTCTTTCAAGCAAGTAGGGAAAGGAAGGTAAGAGATCACCTCAATCTTAGCCTTATCCACCCCAATTTCCTTAGAGAAGATAATGTGCCCTAAACAATCCCTTGATTTACCATAAAATGGCACTTTTCAAAATTTAAAACTAGTTTCTTTTCTATGCACCTTTACAAAACATCATCCAAAGCAATCAGGCAAGAACTAAATGAGTCACCATAAATAGTAAAGTTATCCATGAAAAATTTCATGCCTTTCTTATTAAAATCAGAAAACAGACTCATCATGCATCTCTAAAATGTGCTAGGTGCATTGCACAAACCAAAGGGCATTCTCCTATAGGCAAAGGTACCAAAGGGACAAGTGAAGGTAGTCTTTTCTTGATCTATAGGATCTATGGGAATCTAGTAATATCCACTAAACCTATCTAAAAGGCAATAGTGAGACTTACAAACAAGCCTCTCAAGTACCTGATCATGAAAGGGAGAGGGAAAGTGGTTTTTTCTAGTAGCATCATTTAATTTTCTATAATCAATACACACCCTCTAAGAGTTTTTCACCCTAGTTGGTACTAACTCACTACTCTCATTTTTCAAAATAGTCACACCCCTTTTCTTTGGCACAACTTGAGTAGGAGAGACCCACTCACTATTACTAATGGGGTATATGATTCCTGCACTCAAAAGCTTAATTACTTCCTTTTTAATCATATCTAGGACTAGAAGATTCAACCTCCTTTGGGGCTGCCTAATAGGTTTGGCACCCTCTTCAAGCAAGATCCTATGAGTGCATACTAATGGATCCATCCTAGGTATATCTCCTAAAGTCCACCTAATAGCCTTAGTATTCTTTCTAAGCACAGAAAATAAAGTAGTTTCCTCATCAGTAAAAAGAGAGTTGGAAATAATTACTAGCAATTTCTCACCCTTAAGAAGGAAAACATATTTCAAATTACATGGTAAAGGCTTTAATCAAGAGTGGGTGGCTCAATAGTGGAGGGAATGAGCTATTTAAGCTCAAAGTCTTTATAACTCTTCATGTTGGCTTTCTTTTCTTCACTTTTTCCCTTTTGGTCGAGGTTAATGCTATTTACACTTGCTAAAATTTCCTCAATAATGTATGAACTTCCTTTTGCTTGGCTCACAAGGCACCTTTTAGTCATCTACTTCTTTTGGCACAAATCTCTATTTTGTTGTTTGTAAGGCCTTTAATCATTTTTCTAAAAAGCTACCCTCCTTGAACTTAGGAATCATTGGAACATCAAGCAAAGAAGAGGTAAGCCCGTCCTTGCCTCTTACAAAACAAGAAAAGATACCATTCTCTTGATCAAGCAAAATCATCAATTGAGACAAATCAAAGTCATCATCAAGAGAGGGATCTAAAAGGGATTTTTCATCTAGCAAATAACTACCAATCTCTTTGAAAATATCATAAAATGAACTATCTACACAAGTACAGGAAATATATTATGCAAAAGATGGTGTAATGAGTAATATCATCCATCACACATTCAATAGCATTCACACCAAGCAATGAATAATCCTCATATAGATGTTTCATGGCATCATAAATATTAAACTTCATAGATTCATCACCATATTTCAAAATAAGAGAACCATTTTTCATGTCAATGATAGTCCTAGCAGTGCGCATAAATTGTCTACTTATGTAATAACCCAGAAAATTCATGTTAAATTTAAATTTTGTAATGATATGATTTAAGTGTATTTTTATTATTTTTATGAATAGATATAATAAACAGAAATATTAGTCTAGTAAAAATTACGCTAACCATTTATCAACTAAGTCTTTAGTTCGAACTTTGCTGATACAAGGGGGAGAATTTTGTTTTATTTCAACCTTTGTAAAATTACAAAACTACCCTCTATTTTAAAATTATATTAGCATCAGATTTTTTTCATTCCACTTGATTTTTTCATCGAACTAACCAGGAGCTTCATGTAACGACCCAAAATTTTAAAATCTAATAAATTTTTTTTTCTTTGTCTAATTAATATATAATTTTATTTATCTATCTATTTTAATGTTAGGACAAATGAGAAATGATAGCTTAGTAAAATTTATACTGATTATTTAAAATTTAAATTTTATTTAAATTAAATGTTAGTTGTATTTTCTTTGGGAGGAAGTGTTAAGGAGCTTTTGCCTTGTCTTTTATTATAAAAAGATAATTAAAAAAAATTGATGGGGTCTTTGTTTGTGATTTTCTCACTGACTTTTATATTCTATTTTACATCTCCTTTGTCGGTGAGATACATAGAAGAGGACTAAGAGAGAGAGTCTGAGTGGTTCTCGATTTTTCCTTCTTTTCCCTTCACTGTTGGTTCGTTCTCTTCCTCATCACCGACTATCCTTCCACCGTCATCAGTCACCGGCCATCCTTCCCTCTGTCAGCGCCGATCATCTTCTGTGGTATGGAAGTCATCGGATCTTCACCTTGGTCTGCTTCCTTGTTTCCTTTCTGCTCATCTCTTCTACTTCACCCTCGATCCAGCCACCCCTGTCCTTTGCTCTTCAACACGCTGCTGATGAGAACAGGAGCTCCACTTGCCACCGCTGTGATGGCCGCCTAAAACCACTGCATTGTGGTGAAAATCGTGAGTCCTTTCCTCCCCTGTTCTGTGTTGAATTTCCTCTTTCTTTTTCTTGATCTGTGTTTGCCGTGAACGTCCGTTTTGAGCATGGGTGTCGAAACTTTTCTCCCTCCTTGCATTGTAGTTGCTCTCCTTGGTTCAGTGTGTTAGTGGATGCTATTATTAGGCAGCAGCTTAGAATTCTTCTCCGTACTGAATCCCCTACGTGCGTGCGTGCGTGCATTTTAATGGCTGACGTTGTAAATCGTTTCTCTTGCTGAATCTATGTGTGTGAGAGGGAGTGATTAATGTGAAATTTCCATTTTGTTCCTGTTCAAAGTGCTGTGTGAATTTTCTTCTTCCTCTGCTGCACGTGCTTGTGAAAAGGGGGTTGTGGAATTAAGCTGAATTTTAGTCCAATGAAGGTGATTTAGTGTGGGTTTGAGCTGTGTTAAAATTTATATTGATTTATTTATAGAATGGACTTGGAAAGTTAATTTATTCATATATTTATGTTTGAAAATTTTTGGAAGGTAGAACCGCATAAGAAGGAAGCTTGATGATTATTTAAAGTTCAATGCCCCCAAGGTATTTGACAAAATGACTAAGAGGGGTTTTTGTTATATAATGGCATGATATACATATGATGGGTATATTGTTGATTAAATAAATATGCCATTATTGATTTAACAATCATGTTAAGCATTCGTTCTTTATGATGAAAGTTAAAGAAGAAATTAGAGGTTTTTGGGAGAGAAATTTGAGCTAACAATTTAAGAACCAATTTGATATTCATTTTTAGGATATCATTGGGATATTTGATGCAATGTTGGAAAAGACAAAAGTGAAGGTTTTCTTTCTTTTATCTCTTTTAAGTTGTTGGGATTTTAATATTTGGGTGGTACAGCATGATTGGGGAAGTGACAATGATATTATTTGAATATTAGGAATGTTAGTACAAAGCATTGACCCTTGAGGACTAGTTTGGGAGTGAGTTATGCACTTGAAAACTTTACAGGTAAGTGGATAGCGTCCCAACTAATTTTTTTTAATCAAAATTTCTTTTACTAGAATATTATATTTTTCTGGAAATCATTTTAACAGCATTAATGTAATTATTGGATATCTGTTAATTAATTTTACTTTATTTTGAGAAATTAGCTTTATCAAATTTGAAATGTTATTTTATCAATTAAATTAAGTTTGAACTTTGATTATGAGATTTTTATTTTATCAAATATTGGATTGATACAGAGAATGATTTATGCGAGTTCGACTTTGAAATTTTTGATTATTCAATAAATGCAAGTATGAGTATTGGATGTGAAATTTTATTCTGGAAAGTTTTTAATGCTTAAAAATATTCATGCGAGTTTGATTTTGAGAATGAGAACTGTATCTTGAAAGTGAGGATTTTCTCGCATGTTTGAAAATAATTTTAAAAAGGGACTTTATACGGAACACTGATTGTTAACGGCAGTTCTGTTAGCCCTTGGCGCGCCATGGTACACCTAGCTAGCAGGGTGTTTATAGGAGGTGCTAGCCCCGTGCAATGGCCAACGCACGTGGAATGGAGGGATGGTTACTCGTGAGCATCGTACTCATGTTTGATTTCATGGCTTTGAGCCGTGTTTGATTATCATTACCCTCGTGGATTGCGTGTCCACGTTTGTTTCGTGGCTTCGGCTGCATTTGGTTACTTTCCCTCGTGGACTGTGTGTCCACATTTGTCTTCGTGGCAAGAGCCGTGTTTGGTTATTTACTTTGTGGACTGTGTGTCCACGTTAGTTAATGGTTCTGATAAGTCCCTATAACTATAAATTAGATTATTGGTGATTTTACATCTCATTGGTCTTTTTTTAGTGATTTATGCATAATTATTTATTTTCTTTATTTGTTTTCTTGAAATCGCGTGACAACAATATTTGATCTGATACTTTAATGGTTCAAAATTCTATTTAAAGTTATATAGAGTCATTTTATTTTGAAGTTTATTAAATTTTTATGAAAATTGTTATCTTTGACTTACATAATTGTTTCAAACCTTTTTTTTATTCATGTTCAATTGTTTATTGTTGGGATGTTATTCACTGAAAAAATATTTTTGGTCTCAGATGGAAAGGCTCAACTTGTATTTCAACATGTTCATTGTGACGTTTTATCATTCAATGGAGTGAAAGAATTACTTTGGCAAGACCCATTTGATGTAATTTGGGCCTTATATTAAATCAATGGTCTGGCCCTTGATGCTCCACGTTGATTATAGGCAAGATCTTCGCTTTTATTATAAGATTGAATAATTGTGGGTAAGGAGTGCAATTTCTTTGTTTGTATTATTGTTGTTCTTTGTTAGTGACCAATTTTGGGTAGTCTCAATTTTAGGATACATTCTCCTAAATTTTTTTTTTACAGGAAATTTTGAATTTTGGTTGCATGAAGAATATAAAACAATTAATTAATTAATAATAATTAATAATAAAAATAAAAACTCTTATCATTCATATCCAACTTCTTAACACTCACAATCAAGTCTTCTACAACTCCATGTGGCTTCCTAACACTCCTATCCACAAGTTGGGAAATCATGTTAGTAGGATGCATGCAATTAAGTTTAAGAGATGCATATATAGAATATAGCATGACATTAATTGTAGCACCCAAATCAATAAGAGCATGTGAAAATCTCAAATTACTAATCATGCAAGGAATAGTAAAGGATCTAGGGTCTTCACACTTAACAGGTAATTATGGCTCATTTGATTACACTAATAAAATGAGGTAATTGTACTCTAGCATTAGGAATGAAATTTTCTTATAAGTGAAACAATATTTAAGGAACTTATCATATTTAGGGAAGTTCTTTACAACATCCAATAAAGGCACATTTACTTGAATTTTAGCGAAGAAATCTATTACCTCTTTATCATGCACATTCTTAGAATTTAGAGGCCTAGGCACTTGGGCTTGAGGAAATGGAAGCTTCCTCACTATCTCCTTACTTTGCACCTCCTCTTGAGCCTTTTCTTCCCTTTTTGGAACACTGGCCAAATGATTTTTAGCATGGATAGTGGTGCTGAAATTTTTTTCAGCACCTTCTACTAGCTTATCTTTGCCATGTTTAGGCATTAGTTCTTCATAGACTTGCTCCACATCATCATCACTATCATCACAACCATCTTTACCTACTTAGAGCAGGAAGGATCATCAATTATCATACTTTTCTCATTTTTTTTAGATTTTCTAGCATCAACAACATCATTCAAAATAACATCACCACCATCATTACCAACCTTTTTACCACTCTTAAGTTTAATTACATTTATAGGGGCTTTGGGATTAACCATAGTATTACTAGGGAGTGAAGGGGATTGGTCATTAGAAGAAGTAACTTGATTAGTAGAAGAACTAACATACTTATAAAATGCATCAAGCACTTCATCCAACTTATTAAGCCTAATAGAGGTGGTGGCATTAAACTCTTGTTATTGTGTAAATTGTGCATTAAAATTTTTCTTATCATTCTTCATCTCATTAATAATAATATCCAATTTAGATAATTGAGAAAAAGAAGATGGACCATCAATTGGCACAAGTTGCCTATTCAAGTTTAGAGATATTAGATTTAAATGAAACTAGTGTTATTAATTATATTTTGAAACAAGCTTTCTATGAGCGCTTAAACTACCCCAATCAAATATAGGATGCGAAAATGGTGTACTTTTGAAGTTTGTATTAGAATTTAAAATTTGACGGCAGATTCTGATATGTGTGCTACGATTCATATGTCAATGAAGGATCACATGCTATGGCACATGGCACAAAGATGATGCTAAGGTCTCTGTGCCACATGCGGCAGTGCATGTAGCACAAACCTCAGTGCATGGCCCATTTTTGTAAGAATAATGAGGTTTTGAGTTACTTTTTGATGTGCAATGCTTTACAACTCAATTATATTATAAAATGGTTTTAGAAATGTTTTACTTAAGATCCTAAGCTTTTAAAAAATAAATTATTCTAAATTGATTAGTAGCTTGAGTAGATGGTTATATGGTAATGTCAATAAAGGCATTAAATTTATAATATATAACATCCCGAATTTCTAATCCGTACATTAATACTGATTGAGGAATAAAATAGTAATGTGATATGAGATTAAGATTGTGGATGGTGATGTGTTGTATTAACTTATTAGGATGTTATATGAACAAATATAAGTGAAAGGACGGCATCACGAAGCAGAGCTTGTAAGTATGATGAGGATTTCCCTCACTATGCCTAACATTATAGTTGAGGACAGATGCATCGCAGCATATGGTATAGGTTTCTAATAAATAAGGGCATGTTAAGTTTGTGAAAAATAGAAGGAAAAGAAGAGAAAGAGGGGTTAGGCATGGAGAAGAGAGGAAGGTATGCTAGGGCATTGAGTTTTAGGGAGAAAGGATGACATTTTTGACTTGTTACTTATTGGGTAAGTCTCGTACTGCCTTAACCTCTAATTCTTTGTTGTTTTCTCTTAGTTTCAACTACCAAAAAATTCAATTACAAAGTTTTAAGGAGTTGATTTCTTACCTTATAGTAATAGAAAGATCCTCTAGGACTAAACTAATACTTTATGACTAGTTTGAGCTAGAATGATAACGCTTTAAAGCTATAGGCTCAAATTAACCTAATTTAGAGAGTGTAGTGAGAGAAATATGACTAAGTAAAGGTTAGTGCTTGTATTGAATGGTAATTGTTTATAATACACATGAAGGAGTATGAATAGAGGAAGTGGTAGCAATTAGGTGTTAAATTTCTATAATTGGCATTTTTCATCATTGGTGAAATTGACCTTAGCTTGCTAATTTGGTGTATTTTCTTGCGTATGATGAGTTGAATAGCAAAAGAAACTCAAATAGGGTTCTGGAACATAGGTAACCCTTTCTATTAGATAGAAGGGTTGAGATAACCATATAATTTGTTATGTTTATTAGCTATCATAACTGTGTAAAAGTAATTGCATGATTGTGAAATCTGATTTTTTATTAGTTTCAATAGATGATTTTCTTCATAAACAGTTTTAGGATGAAATTGATTTGTAAAAGAAAAATTTGATGATCACTAGTTTAGATTGATCTATATATATATGTATGTGTATGTGGTATAAAATGGTAGAAAAGTTGCTAAATGTGTGTGAAAAGCATGATCATAGGGGGTGGGAGTTCACCGAGGATATGTGTAGATATGTGTGTGGAGATATGAGTAAAGAAATCTATATGGTCGGGATAGCACCATGGGGCATCCAACGCAACATTATATAGGCTAGTACCATAGGTAATTCAATATAGCATTATATAAGTCTGTTATCGTGGGACATCTGTTTTCTTGGGGCAAAATTCATGGGAGATTTAGCCATGATTTTAGAGCTTCAACTTAAAGATTGCTTAAAGATGCAAGGCTAGATTCTTGAAGGAGCTACTATATAGAGGAGGAAACAATGGGTTTGTATTATTTTCTAGTTAGATTTGAATTTCTTCTCTTTACTTTTCTCACTCTAGAATTACAAATTTGTATGACTCATTGACCTTGTAATTTCAAGTGATGATTCATATAATTGAGAAATGCTTGTTGCTATTTGAGTTTTGTTATTTTGTTATTTCGATAGCTAAACAAGGTGACTGTAAAGAATAAGTATCTCTTACCAAGGATTGAGGATCTTCTAGATCAATTAGCTAGTGCCTCAGTATTTTCCAAAATAGATTTGAGGTTAGGGTATCATCAATTGAGAGTCAGTCAATCGAATGTACCTAAGACAGCTTTTAGAACTTAGTATAGACATTATGAGTTTTTTGTTATGCTATTTGATTTGAATAATACACCTATAATGTTCATGGATTATATGAACTGAATCTTTAGGCCATATTTAGATCAATTTGTGGTGGTCCTTATCGATGACATTTTAATCTATTTTAAGGATGAAGAGTAACATGCAAAGTATTTGAGGACAATGCTCTGGATTTTGAAAGATAAGTTGTATGCTAAGCTCAGTAAGTATGAGTTTTGGTTGAGAGAAGTCTAATTTTTAGGGCACATGGTGTTTATGGATGGGATTTTAGTATATCCACATAAGGTTGATGAAATATTCAAGTGGGAACACCCCAGTTCAGTAATGGAGATATGTAGTTTTTTGGTATTAGCAGGATATTATTGGTGATTTATCCAGGGGTTTTCCTAGATAGCTTCTCCTTTGACTAAGTTAATATGAAAAGATCAGCCTCATATTTAGGATGACTGGTGTGAAGTGGCATCTTAGCAGTTGAAAGAGAAGTTAACCATATCACTAGTGTTAATCATCCTTAATCCAAGATTACATTATGAGGTATACACAGATGCATCGTTGAAAGGTTTTGGTTGTGTTTGGATGCAAGATAGTCGGGTGGTAGCTTATGCATCTCGATAGTTGAGACTGTATAAAGAGAACTATCTTGCACATGACTTAGAGCTTGTACCCATGGTGTTTGTTCTAAAGATTTGGCACCATTACTTGTATGGTGCGGTGTTCAATGTGTTTAGTGACCATAAGAGTTTGAAATACCTGGTGGATTAGAAAGAGCTAAATATGAGACAAAGGAGATTGATAGAGCCTCTTAAGGATTATAAATTTAAATTAAAATACCATCTAAGTAAAGCAAATGCGGTTGCTGACGCATTGAGTCAGAAGAATATGCATATGGCAAAGTCTAATAGTAAAAGTGTAATGCCCTCACTAACATTACCATACACTCTACTACAATCAATCCTTAATCATTTCAAAAACATCTAATTTAAAAATATTGAAAATGTTAGGATCCCAAGAAAACATGCGCATTCAAGAAAACAAAACCCCATACACAAATACATACACGATTAAAGCATTTAGTCTTAGTGCATTAAAGATCTAGAAAACATGCGCATTAAAGAAAACAAAGTGCAATTTTGCACTATGCACTATGACTCGTGCCATATGCACTGCGGCATGTGGCACAGAGGCCACAATTGCTCACTCTGTGTTGTGCACCATGGCATGTGGGTACATATGCTGTGGTGCACATACTTGAATTTGCTATCAAATGGCTGTATCTGATACAAAATTCAGATATGTGCCATTTTCTCATACAATGTCTGATTGGGGTGATTCAAGTGCTCATGCAAAGCCTATTTTGAAATCTAACTAATGACTTTAGTTTCACCTCAATCTAATATTTCTATCAAAAATTGGACACTAAAGTGCAATTTGACCATTTTCTAGAAAAATTTTATCACTTAATTGTCTCAATTAAAAACCAATTGTCATTAGCCACTTTTTAAGCCTTGACCACGTCCAAATGGATAATACATACTTGATTAACTACACATATACACAATATATCACACATATACATATTTGGCTTGT